ATTTTTTATAGTTTTCAATGGTTAATATTTTTTCATAAAATTCTCATAGCATTTGTCTTGTAATAATTTTTAAACTAAACCTGAAAATTGATTTTTTATTTTTTATAACATTTTTATGTAACTATAAATTTTTATATTGCTATTTTTATATAACATGTAAATTCAATGTTTTAGTATACGGCTTTGCTGTAATGAAAATATTTAAGTTTTTAAAATTAAACCATTATTTATTATTAATAATAATAATATATATCTATGCGTAATAAATGTGACAATTCACATTTACTTCTTCTTATTCATCAAATCAGTTGACCATTTCACCAACTTTCAATAAAACAGTTATTTCAACTATCAGTTTCTTAACGTTGCCAGCGTTGAATCGTTAAAAATAACTATAGTTGAAAAATAACTAGTTATTTAACTGGTTGACGAAACCCCGATAACCGTTTCGTTTCGTTGACAGCAAAACCGTCAACGACCCACTTCTAGCTATACCTGGAGAATAATGTTGAAATATATAACAATAAAACCTGAAAGTTCCATTTTAGTTGAATATTTATTTCCCTCCCTAAAAAATCCTCAAAAAAGCGATTTTTTGAAGGTTCTTGCATGCTCCCCACTTAATAAGGCAAATCTGCCGTAACAGAGGTCCTAAATAGCGTTGTCCTGGCAGTGCTCTCTTGTGCTTGTTCTTGGAAGTGAAAATTATGAAAATGTCTATCTATTTGCTACGCGATCAGGCATATTTTACATATAAACAAGCAAGGAAGAATTTTGTATCAGAATCTTCGATGATGCAAAATTTCACGTAGTATTTTCATTGTTACATTTTATAACCATTATGAAAATTGAAGCAAAGTTACATAATTCATGAGAATTAAATATTAGGTTAGAATTTAACAAGTGCGACTTTCACTCATATAACCGAAATGAAATTTTTCATTATAATTTGCTTCTATATTTCTGCAAAGGAAAAAAAAGTTATGTTGACTGTTTACGGTGATATAGTCTTAAAGGAACGGCAGTGTCAAAATTGGTTTGCCGAAATACGTTTTGAAATTGTAAGAAGCAGAAGTTTGCTAAAGAAACGCAATGAAAATTATTCATTTTTGACACTGGCAATGAAAATAAATTATAACAATATCAAGCAGAAAGAATACTGGAGCAAGCCAGATTAATCAGCTCAAACAACCTCAAAAGCTAATAATCATCAAAGACTTACCAAGGAATTAACTATTTTGAATTTCGAACATCCAAAAGAAAGATCAATTATGTCTAAATTGAACATCTAACGAAATTAAACAATGCAAGAAAGCAGCGCAAATTGACAAAACAAAAATGTATTGTTTGTACTTCATCACGACAATGCCTGGCCACAAAGCAAAAATTATTGGAGCTTGGTTTAGATGTTTTTCCATATATAGTCCTAACCTTGCACCACCAGATTACTTTCTTTATCGATCATTAGAAAAGACATTGAGTGACAAAAATTTCAATAATGATAGTCTCAAATTATACTTGATTCAGTTTCTTGCATAAAAAGAAGTTTTGTGAATGTGGGATTATGGCGGTACTTGAAAGATGACAAAATATCATTGATCAAAATAAGAAATATATTACAATCTAAAGTAATTTTTAATGAAAAAATTGCCTTAGATTTTTTAACAAAAATCCGCACTTAGTTTCGAACCTGATAGTAATAATTTTTGAAGATATTTTAACAGGATATCAAAAGGTCACTAAATAAACGTTATGTTACGTATACGTAATTATTTCATCAGATGATCAAGTAAATGTTAAAAAATATATTTAGCAAAAATTATATAAACACATTTAAACTTGTCACGTATTTAAATGTTTGTATTTATATATAATTATATACTCTTCATATACGTTAGATAAACATAACAACGCCAAATTATTTTTGTAGATCTACAACTCTTAAATAGTAAGTAGAACTTTTCGATAAAATGTTAAACTAGCTGTGAGTGGAATTCTGTCTTAAGGCAATTAAGGCATCGTGCCTTAAGGCAAATTGCTGGAACTTCCCGTACCAAAAATTATTATTTTAAAAACGATTAACATTTTTGAAAAAAATTTACTTCGAAAAAATTAGAGAGAAACTATAAATTTGACAAAAAATTACTTTTTTTGAAAAAAAAATTTTTTTTTGAAAACAATTTTTTTTTGAAAAAAAAAATGTTTTTTTCATTTTGACATACTTTGGAAATTCTGAACTGTTTTTCAAAGCAATCGTACTGCTTTATCTGCATAGAGACAAAATGTCAAAGCGCGCAACTGCCGCGCCGCCGTCTAACCGATAAGCATTGGTACGGAACCCATAAAATTTTTTAAAAAAAATTATACTTATTGTTAAAATCTCTATAAAATATCTGATAATTTGATGTGCATATGTCTAATGATCATTTTTGACCGCCAAATGGCATTTTTTTTTTACTTTTTTCATTAGATTTCCGAAACCGCTAGACCTGCCTTTATGAAAATTTGATCGGTTCTTCACCTTGCCAATACAAGTAAAATGTTTCTTGAATTATTAAAATCGGATGCTCCGTTCTCTTAAAAACTGAGTTACCGTTTTCGGCACTTTTCGCCCCGTATCTTCGGAACGGCTAGACCTGACTTTGCCAAAAACTAATCAGCACGTCTCCTTATCAATACGAATCGAATGTTTTTTGAATTATTCAAATCGGTTGATCGGTGTTCCCGAAATCGTCGACGAAAATTTGTATCCGCACATACATACACACACGCACACACACCCACACACACACACACACACACACACACACATACATCCATTTTTTCTAAGGTATGTCAAAATATTCAGAAACCTCTGAAACGTAAAGATATATAAAAATTTTCATTTTCGATTTTTTTGCGATTACTATAACTTACCCTACGGGAAGTTAAATAACATTCCTGATTGCAAATTTTACTCATCGTCAGCAAATGCGATAAATAAAAATAAAATATTATGTCGGTTTGCTTAATAGCCAATAACATCGCTACGGTTGACTGTATTTAGAATGTGATTTAGACAAACTGGGCGCGATGATAATCCTTGCCAGCAACGCTTCATTGAGTTCCAATCGGTATCAAACCATGTGTTTCTAATACGACGTGAATATTTACTCCGCATTAAATTGATACCAAGCCCATTTTTCAATCGACCTATTTAAGATCACCGCGTTTGATAAAGGGTAAAAATGTCAAGTGAATCGTTAATTCAATTAAACAATAATAAAACATTCGATAGAAAAAATAGTTCGTTCGATACGGTAACACTATGCAATTTATTATAAATTGATTATTAACTTCCCGAAAGAGAATTTCATGTTTTCATAAAAAAATCCGACTCGTTAACTTTATGTTTTCTCGACGTCTCAAACCATTCTGAATCGAATGAGACCAAATTTGGAAAAAGTATGTGTGTGAACACATTTTTTGCCGTAAATCGACGTTTTCTCAAAAACGGCTAGACCGATTTCAAAATTTTAAAAGCTATTCTATGTATCTCAATGAGGACTAGCGTTTCTGATTTTTGAGCGACGATCGGTCGAACCGTTCTTTGTAAATCGCAGAAAAGTGAGAAATTTTTCGTCCACGTTTTCGCAATTCTGAATCGATTTTAAAAATTCAAAAACTGTTCGAAAGATATTAGTTGGGAATCGACCTGATTAGTTTTTGATAATCATGGGCCGTTTTTCTGTAATAAAGCTTTTAAAAAAAAAATCTCGACGATTTTTATGATTTTTGGATTCTGTAATAAATCCACTCGGAATACTTTTAATCACTCATAATTTAATTTATTTTTTATTGATTAAGTAGATTAAGTATTGATTAAGTATCGCTGGGCAATTTTCGCAAAATATTTAAATTTTTCTACTAATTCCACTCCGATATATTAAAAATTATAACTTTTACACCATATTCCATTAGGAAATTCCAGTAATACACCCTGTGGTTTATTATAGTGTCGAATTATTGAGATTCTACTGTATTGTGTATTATTAACTTATAATAAATTGTGTTGTGTTTTCATATGCAGTTATATTTATAAAATCTTTGATAAAAATCGTGTGAAAGAAGTTCAGCGCAGATGGAATATTTATAATTAGGTCTTCGAATGGTACTAATAAAATTATTATAACATTTTCAACCATCATCTTCTTTCATTAATTGCCAAATATGTACTATATAGTCCAAACCAGTGTGAATAGAAAAAGAATTTAATTATCTTTTCATATCTTTTATGAATGAATATGAATACATCATAAAGATAGTTTCAATAAATTGAGGTAGAACTTTCAAAATGATGTATGTTAGTTTAAATTTAAATCTCAATATGGAACATATTATAAATGCAAGACGTTTCTACCCTTTCTAAAGTGTTTAATGGTGAATTCAATGCTATTATTTCTACAAAGATTTAAATAATCATAATACTAATATTGTTAAATTAGTTATTTAATAGATAGATACCCATTCACTTGATTTTATCCGAATCACATCCTTAAATACTTCAAATTCGAGATATGTAATATTTTGTTATACTTTATAAGCAATTATTTCTCTTACAACTACCTTTTTTCTTAAATATAATTATGGTGGTATCATAAACAAAGTTTAAAATTAATTTTTTGTATAAAAGTAGAAAATAAAAAAAAATTATAAAATCCAATCAAATTTATCGATCTTTCAAAAGTCAATAACTAATAAACTGTTTAGTTTCATTAGTACATTTCTGTATTCCTCAATACTGATGGCATGTTTACAAAATCAAGTTGAACATCATTAGCAAAGAAATCTAAATAAAGCTAGATTGTATGTATTACCCAGTAATGAAAAATATAAACCCTACATCGTAAAGAAATGATAATGTTGCATATGATGTATAAATTTTTATAATTAATAAATGCCATGAACCTTGCTTATATTACCCATTTCCAAGCATATAAACTCTTTTAAAAATTTGATTATCCCAAACCTTGGTCTCATAATCTCATAAAATTCATAAAAAAAAATATTCGAAAGTTTTGGAGTAGTTTATTACAACAAAAACTTGAAAAACTATTATAAATTAACAACATACCTCGCTTGTTCTGCTGACTCATTAGTATAGCTAATGGGCATTCATCATCATCTAAAATATATTCAGAACCATCACCATTCACCTAAAATAAATAAATATATTAATTTCCTAATCTATTGTCCATATCACAATTATCACAAAATAGCAATTGTTATTCATGTAATAGAGTTTTTAGTTTTTGCAGCATTATTATGCTACATGTCAAATCTCCTTTGAAATAATCTAAATGTAGGTTGAAAATGAGTCATTGTATTTACTTTATTCTATATTAAGCAATTTATATAACTAAACTATTCAGAATTATAAGCAATTAATTTCAATCAGCTAAATACTATATACAATTGAAATTATTCTTTGGATTTACATTGTCTATTGTCAAAGCAGTACCTGATAATGCTATCAAAATATCCAAAGATAATTATTAAAATATCCAAATTATTTTACATAATGTACAACCAACAAATACAATCAGGAGATTTGAATTTGATAGTAAAAAAATTGAGAATAAGTGATGAAATATATATGAAAATTTTTAGAACACATTAATATTTCAAGTGACCTAATTGAAACATAAATTTAGATATTTTCAACAATATGCAAACTAGAGTATTATATCAAACAATTTTGTCTGAATATTACTCAAGTCTGATTTTGTCATACAATTTATGATGTAAACTAAAGTATTAGTTGGCATTGTTCATCACCTGCACTAAACAGTGATGTGTAGGATCTGCATTTTCTAGGCCATATTTTGTCAACATTTCTCTGACCACAGCTTGAGCGCAATCTCTGATGGAAAGTAAAAGTGTTTTGTAAGGCACGTCACGGCACAGGCTTTCACCATATATTTTCAAAGTACCCCCTGGAAAATGTCAAAACATAGTATAAAAGTGAGTCATTCATCCATGAAATGGAAATAATTTTCAATAATAAACTTATTTGGAAGATTATATAATCTAATATTAAAACAAACAATTATAAACTAGTAAAGGAAATACAGACAAAATGATATGGTGTTTCGCTTTTTATTTATATATCTTTATTTAATGATATTATAACTAGTCTCAATTGTTTCTTTTCATCTTTGGTTTGTTGACTACTAGTAAGATAGCATTTTAATTAAGTAGAAACTATAATAAACTATTTATTTAAAAAAAAATACAACCTATTACACAAACCATTTTACCCATAAAGTTAGGACAAAATGACATATAAAATAAGCACATAATGAACTGATAATTTTTAAGAAAGCTATGAATAAATGGGTTGGTCCTCTTTCAAACATCAGCACATGAACCCAAAGGGTACAAGTTATACATCATAAAAAAAACGGATTTTGCAATAAATGCAAGTCTCTTATTTTCACCAGTGTATCTGTTTTCAACAATTTTTTCTGGCATACGTGGAGTAGAAGTTAAAACCATTGGGAGTTTTTTTCTTGGCCTTATAGTTCTTGCGAAATAGTACTGAATCAATTTGTCCATTGTACTATAGGTATGCCATTTTGTCCGAAAATGAACAAAAATGAATAATTAATCAAACACCTGATTATTGCAACCATAGATAAAAGAAGAGTATTGCAACAAAATTTATTGAGTATATAGTAATTTCATAAGTTCTTGTGCTTTAATTGAAAGAATTACAAACATCAATAATCAGATCCCCAAAAAACAAAAAAAAACACTCAAAATAAACTTATCAAGGCGAAAAACACGTTTGAACTTATTACTTCGACAAGACCTTGGCAATGACGCTCAACACCTGACAGGATTTTTTTTTATTGCTTTCTTCGTGTTGTTAGTCGCGGAAACGATAATTTTAAAATAAGGCAACTGTTTCATTTTGCCTATATATATATATATATATATATATATATATATATACACCTAAGTCTGTTTTTACACGGAGATTGGTTTCAGAAGAAGCCGTGTAAAAAAAAAACGTGTAAAAAAAGACATTGATCTTATACAAAAATGGGTGATTTGTTCCTAATCACTAAAACATATTAAAATTGGTGAAAAACAAGAATTTTTAGGAACAAGAATTAAATTAGTGCTATTCACATTTGCTTTGACCAGTAAAAATTGTTTGTACGCGCTAAAGGGGAATTCACTTAAATCTTTAAGCTAGTGTTCGCAAACTATCGATACTATCGATGGTTTCAGACTTTTTTCTTTCATAAATACTTTTTTGTGATATGAACATACTTCGCAAAATTTAATTTGACAAAAAAAATTTATTTTATTTATTTATTTAAAATTTATTTAGGTGTATATATATACACCTAAGTCTGTTTTTACACGGTCTTTTTGTACACGGTTTTGATATAACACGGTTTGAAAATTGAATATTTTTAATTTTTTTACACGATTTTATTCCATTTAGCACGATTTGAAATTTTATGTACTTAAATTTTTTTTTGTCAAATTTAATTTTTGAAAGTATGTTCATATCACAAAAAAGTATTTATGAGAGAAAAAAGTCTGAAACCATCGATAGTATCGATAGTTTGCGAACACTAGCTTAAAGATTTAAGTGAATTCCCCTTTAGCGCGTACACTATATAATTGAGCCGTTCAGTGCACACATCGACTAACTCCGAAAGTCAGAAAGTGGAGAAAAGCGATAAAGTAATGTATATTGCTTTTAAAAATTCCTGTTATAATATAAATTGAAAAATATATTTTAGAACGTATAAATACATATATAGCTTACATGTAACGGTATATAAGATTTATAACTATTAATAGTGAGAAAATAATTATCATTAAAGTTAAAGTTTTGATATGACTTGTGGAGTTAATCAAGTTTTCAACTTTTTTTAAACTTTAAACTTTTTTTAAAATTCGGATCTTCATTGTAGTCACACTTAAATTGTATATCGTTGGGTTTGGACCTTTCTATTCTAAATTCAGCGCATTTTAGGCCAATTTTCTGGACACCCTGTGATGGTTACTTTTCTGTTATTGATTTATTGTTCTAAATAAATAAAAAATAGATAAAAAATCTTAGTGAAGCATTCGGCTTAGCTACAATGGCGCTTTTTTCTTAAATGTTTTTATTATATTGTATCAACTATCTGGTAAAATTATGTCTCGATTTTTTTTCGCACGTGACTCAATAATAACAAAATCTTGAGTTAATAGATTAATAACTATTTTCACCGACCAAAAATTTATTTTTAATTAAGTTAGCTCTTATTTCCGTACTTTGAACAAGTTTCAATAAACTTCAGGCAGTTTTAATATTCTTGTTTTGCCGGGTACACGGATTTTAGTATGTTATTTTTTCAAAGTTTGTAACGTCTTCGATGTCTTTTATAAAACTAGATGAGTTTTTTTCGAGACCCACAACACCCTACAGTTCTGTGTTCTTATTCGTAATTCATGAATTTGAAATCCGAAATCCAACCCAACCAGAACATATACACTACAGAATGGAGTTAATCAAAATGTCTTCTGAAATAAATGACTTATGGATTCAGTGGTCAAAAAAAATTTCGTTTCACAGTGGCAATTTTTATTTTTTTGGAAAATTATTATAATCATAAAAAGATATGATTATACCAAGTTCTTTCCCACTAATATCTCAGTTTTTTCAAAAAGTGGAGTTAGTCGATGTGTGCATTGAGCGGCTCATATATAGCACTAATTTAATTCTTGTTCTTAAAAATTCTTGTTTTTCACTAATTTTAATAGGTTTTAGAGATTAGGAACAAATCACCCATATTTGTATAAGATCAATGTCTTTTTTACACAGTTTTTTTTACACGGCTTTTTCTGGAACCAAACAACCGTGTAAAAACAGACTTAGGTGTGTATATATATATAAAATTAGGTGTGTAATATATATATATAAAACCTTTTTTAGTTAATTCTTATTACTCTTTACCCCAGTACATAATCCATTCCTTTATAAAAATTTTTTCTAATTAATCTGTATTGACCATCATTAATTAATGTTAATCAATAGTTTTAAAAAACATTGTATTTGACAGAATTAAACCTGATGATGGAACGTACCTAGTTCCGAACGTCGTTATTAAACATCTTCAAAAAACAAATTGTTTTTATTATTGGATTTACTGTTCGGAAAAAGAAACAATCAATATATTGAAAAAATCCAGACTTATCTATTGAATATATATATATATATATATATATATATATATATATATATATATCATATCATATCATATCATTTTGTCCATTATTTCCCTAATATTCAGTATTGTATTGGTTAAAAACTACATGTACATTTTTCATATTAAGTAACAAATTTGTCATATTGAGTAATAAATCATCTAGCCCAATGATTCAAATAGACTATTTTATTTCAAAACCATAAATTTTATGATTATAGAGAAAAATCTATGATTATTTATTGCTTAAAGCTTCGATACAAATTTATAGCTAATTTCGATTCAGTTACTTTATATTTATAATACAATTTTTATTATAAAATTATATAAAGTGTTGAAAATTTATAAAAAATACTAAACATGTTTATACATAATTTTTCTTGACATATGATTTGAAATTCTTCATTTGAATTGGGCCCAAAAACCTCCATAAAAATGTTAGGTCTCTTAATATCAGAAAAATATTTAAAAAATCACCTCCAATTTCTTTTTCGAATCAATTTGTTTTAATATTGAACAATTTATAGGTATAACTGAAAAAATGATATATGCAGCATAACTTTGTTTTTTGGTTAGTACTTGAAAGTATAAAGAGAATTAGCTAAAATCTTTTCTAAATTCTAATTTCATTTAATTTGAACATTTAGTTTTATTGAATGAAGTTGAGTCATCAAACAAAATATGCAGAATTTTTTACCGGTATCAGGTCCTCCATCTTTAGACCTAAATTGCTGTAACTTTCTTTCTAGTTTTTGTTGTCTCCTTCTTCTCATAACTGCTTCAGGATTTGATATGGATCTGGTGAATGAAGTTTCAGGAAGCTCTACAAAATGATTAAATAGTAAGAATAGGGAATGCAATACCGGTATACTGGTATTTTCGGTATTTTTGCATAAGCGCTATTTGATACATAATACACTAAAGTTTAAATTTCTCAGAACAAATTTATCGTTGAATTTCAAAATGGTCTAAACAGGTATATCTTTAAGTGATTGTGTAGGATAAACAAATGTTAAATATTATCTCAACTCGTCATTAAACTGAATATTCATTGCTTTACTAAGGGCTTCATATCGTGTTACAATAAATAGAATTGGACTGATAGATAATGATGTTTTTTTCACCTTATGTAAAATGTAACGGTTTTTAAAGAGACATTTAAGCCAAAAATATTTTATATCATAAAGAATCATAATCAACAAAATAAAGATTACCCACCCCTGCGTAATCTTTATTTTTTTCTAACTTTATACATGATAATTACTAAATATTTTTGCTTCTTATTACAATTAGAAAATATTTTTCGAAAACGTTTCGCAGTTTGAAAATTCTATAGAACCATCACATTGTTTTAAATAACAATAATCAACACAATATAGTATCTTAATATATCTTGATAAAGTATCTGATCTTAAATTAGTGAAGAAAATTATTTTTTTTAAATATTGGAGATTATGCTTATTTAACACATAGGATACAGACAATACAGTTTATTATAATAATGGAATATATTCTTTTATGAGTTTTTGGTCTTTCTTACTCATACGTTTGATTTTGGTGAAAAGTACTCAATATACTCGATACTGATAATGAATTAATTAAATTGGATATAATTTTGTTAAATTATTAAAAAATAAATTTGTTTTTTTTTATTGTTTAGTTGACTATAGTTGTAGTTGTGTATACAATTTTTTATATTTGTACCAGTAACTTTTAATTTTGTTTACATTTGTTTAATATAACAAAAATACCAGTATTTTACCGGTATTTCGGTTTCAAAATGAAAAATTACTGAAATTTATTGAAAGTAGTATTGAAATTTTTTATCAGTATTGCATTCCCTAGTAAGAATTTTTTTTCATGATTTTTAACTTTTAAATTGTATTTGTTTGAAAAGTGGATTCACAAACATATTTTCCTGAAAAACATTAGTTTAGGGAAATATTATTGGATTACAAAGACATGTAAATAATAATGCAATAAACAACAAATAAAACTAAGCAAAAAGGTATGAAAATAATTTGAAAAAAGTAAGTTACCAATAACATGTAATATTTAATTCTAACATAATTATGTTAGTGTTCAAAAAAAGAATGCTATTTATATTTAAATTTGGAAATATAGCAATTGTTTTAAACAATTATCATTGCAATGCATTAGTTTTAAAAAAAATCCTAACAACCCATCCAGATTAAAAATTGTACATTGAAAAATTCATTTCTATAGCAATCATCACCTGTGTATAATTTCTCTGCATTTTTATTTTCCTTTGAAGCATCAGATTGTAATCTAGATAATTTCTCTTTCTTCTTAAATTCTTTTTTTTCTCGTTTAGACAATTTTCGTTTAAAGTTATTTGATTCTGCAAGATCCACAGCAGGTGCCTAAAAATACAATTCATAATTTCTTATAAAGCTCTTATGAAAAAAACAAATAATAATCATTTAGTATAGATGAAATATAGAATTTTATGTACATATGTACATGTGATTGATTATGAAAATTTAATTTGTGAACTAAATAGAAACTTTTGCAAAAGTCCATTATAAATCGAAATCTTCAGTATCTCAAATTAAAAACAAACCAGGCATATGGCATATTGCCTTAAAGAATTGATTTAATCAATAAGAATTATGATTTAGCAAATTATCGACTGAAATTCAAAATTTGGTACACATTAACACACATTCCAATATTGGTGTCAATATTTCTTCTAGACTAATAAAGCCATCAAACGAAGATCAATGACTTAACATTCCAATTATACTGTTGCAATGATAAACATGTTAATCATTAAATAGGAAAACTGTTACTGCAACAGAGCTTTATTAATTCATATTTCTTTTGAATTTTTATAATAGTAGTTATTAAAACTTTTAGTATTTTTTTAAGTGTGTAATAAGCTGAAAACATACACCTTTATGCAGTGTAGAACTTCACAAAAATAACAAATATTGATAATATAATAATCTATGTTCGTTATTTAAATTAATGTTATACTATATGATTATTATTATAATTATATAATATTATTGGATTAAACAATAATTTAATAAAAAAAATATATGGTATTCTCAAGTTTTCTCTTCAGCTGAGTAAATTCATTATCACCAAATTCACTCCCTGAAAAAGAGAGATAATCTACAAGCAATTTTTTTCCTGAGAGATGAAAATTCATCATCATTTGGAATATAACTTTATATATCAATATTTGCAAACTCCAGGATAGCAGTTTAAATAAGAATATAAAAAAAACAGTGTGCATGAACAAAAAATGAAAAAATGTATGAAAAAAAGGTACCTGACAAAATATTTTGAACTGTCATATTGCTTATATTGCCATTTAATGTTTAAGTAATGAAAATAATGCTAATAATTTCAAATAAATTTGTGTTGGAATTTGTCAAGGATTCCGCATCATTGAGAAAGATATGCAAATAAGAAGTGGTATACAAGAATCACCTAAAATCCCATCGACCCATGCCTGATTCATTATTTATCTCAGTTTAAAATCTGAATTTCACAATATATATGAAAATAAATATTGAATAATTTACCTTGCAAGTATATCTATGAAGAAACTATATGAAGTGAAACTTGTTTCTCTTGAAAGAGTCTTTAAACTAAATTCTAAAAACTTGTAAATTTCATTCTCCGGTATGAGACTATATGCGTACAATACATAAATAATAAGCAAGAGCTACGGAACTAAATACAATTTGTGCACTATAAGGCAAAAAAAACAAATTTGTAAGTAAGTAGCAAATAAAAAATCTTTGAGGAACTTAAAGAATTTTGAATACTTATTCGATTTCATACATTTGTTTTATGGTCGACATTTCTAAGGAGAAACCTTCCTTCTCTATCATCTATATGCCAATTTAGCTGCACTAGCAAAGGCTTCTCTGTAGGTGATAATCTCCGTTCTTCGTGATTGGAATGGACTTCATATAAGGCATAGCTGGGTAAGGATAGCATTCGCATATCAGGCCTGAATTTCTCAATTAATGTTTCTGCAAAAGTATATTAATCATTTAGATTTGTTACTCTACTAAAAACGTTACTCTAACTAAAATAAATAAATATCATACATTTATAATTGTGGTAATATTTGTAATATCAATAGATAATATTGTATAAAGTATTTTTGACAGCTTTTGTAATTTTACTTTCGCTACAATTATATGATATTGGTCAATACAAATCTTCATATATAATAAACTTAAAAAATCTTTTTTAACTTCCCGAAGGAGAAGTTTGTTTTCATAAAAAAATCCGATTCGCTAATTTTGTTTTCTCGACGTTCCAAGCCATTCTGAATGAGACCAAATTTGGAAAAAGTATTAGTGTGTGTGTTTGGTGTGAAAACGAACGAACACTCTATATTCATACCAAGTAAATCTTCTATATTTAACTTTAATAAACATAAAAAAAAACTAGTCATTTTCTCAGACTTTGGTGAATTTTTAAAATTAAACTAATTGTCGTAAGGCCATAATATTTCAGTAAGTTCTAAAATACTATGGTATCTATCATCAAAAAAAAAAAATCATAAAAACGAAAATTTTTTTTAACACTTTATTACAAGAAAACAGCCCGGCCGTTTTTTACCAAAAACTAATCATCACGATTCCCAAATAATATCTTTCGAACAGTTTTTGAATTTTCAAAATCGATTCAGAATTTCGGGGTGAAACGTGAACGAAAAAATTTTCACTTTTCTGCGATTCACAAAGAAGCGGCTTGGTTGATCGTGCAAAATTGATAAACGCTAGTCCTCCTCGAGATATATCGGAAGGCTTTTAAATTTTTTAAAATCAGTCCAGCCGTTTTTGAGAAAACGGCTGGACTACATCGATTTACGGCAAAAAATCTGTTCACGTGCGCGCACACACATACTTTTTCCAAAATTGGTATCATTAGATTCAGAATGGCTTGGAACGTCGAAAAAAAAAATTGGCGAATCAGATTTTTTTTATGAAAAAGTTCGGGAAGTTAAAAATAACATATTAAAGATATTATTAATCTTTTTTTATTACAAATAAAATGAAGATTAAAAAGGTTATCAAAATCTTGATTCCTTTAATTAGTTAAAAAATATCACCTGAATTTATATATTCATAACAATAGGTAAAGAAGTTTCAATGATGATTCAAAATCTATTATGATCAGTTATTTCACACTGATTAGGAATAACACCAACATTTTTATTGAAGAAGCCATTTAAAAGACACGCACTTTTTAAATCTGAATACAAAATTGAATACCTATGACATCAGCAACAGTTGCATCTGACGCCACTCGGATACATTTAGTTGCCACTTTTTGACCAGAATCTTGAAAATAAAATCGCATCACTCCGTGAAATTCCAAATCCTAAAATAAAGTTTAAATATTAATATCTAGATCATACAAAGTACTTATATCTACATGAAATATATATATATATATATATATATATATATATATATATATATATGTGTGTGTGTGTAAGAGAGAGAGTTTTTCCTGTTGTGATATTGTTTATTAAAAAAAATTGTGAATGATGACACACATATCGTGTCGAAACGTATAAATAAATAGATCATTATTTATTGTTTTTTTAGTTCGAAGACTGGCTTACATTTCAATATATGTCTCAATTTCGACCAAAAAAATCTAAATCATATATATATATATATATATATATATATGTATATATATTGATTGTTTCTTTTCCGAACAGTAAATCAAATAATAAAAAACAATTTGTTTTTTGAAGATGTTTAATAACGGCGTTTCGGAACTAGATACGTTCCATCATCAGTTTTATTCTGCCAAAGACAATGTTTTTTAATACTATTGAGTAACATTAATTAATGGTGGTTTTATATAAAATTGAGAAGCAAAAATTATTTACCTGTAATAATTTATATATTTCTTTGACAGAATAAACCTGATAATTATGTATATATATATATATATATATATATATATATTATGTATATATATATATATATATATATATAGGTTTATTCAGTCAAAGAAATATCTAAATTATTACAGGTAAATAATTTTTGCTGTGAGATTCAGTCTTCAGGGCAATACATCAATTAAAATCTTGTATGAACTTATAACATTTTTATTGTTTCCATACGTTCTGGCACATTGTTTTGTGTCATCTTCAGTGGACTCTAGTTTGAAAGCACAGATTAAAACTATTAATTAAAGCTAATTTATAAGAAAGTGATATGGTGTAAATACTTACGTAATTGTAATATTCCTTAATGAGGATATTCCTTATTAGGAATATTACAATTACATGTAAATTTAATATAGTATAGTAGGAATCGATAAATAATATGCAATGTCGATATTTTTAATATTTAAAAATATGTAGCATCACAATCTAATTTGTAAATGTATTTGATATAACTGAATATATATCAACCAAGAATAAAAAAGTGACAGTTATCCAATTTAAACAAATAGTAGTACAGTTATAGTAGAAACAAATATTTTTAAAAATTTCCTTGTTTCATTATTTTAAGAATGTTATATAACCAACCACTGAATGGTTCGCTGATTTTCGTCTTCAACTAAACATAGGAAATTAATCAGAGCATCACATCGCGACTTTCATTGTGATACTCTAAGCATGTTTGTGCTACCTTTGCATAAATATAAGTAACATTTCTAAGAATAGTAAACAGTTACATTTAATTATATCAATTGCAAAAATATGTCTCAAAATTAATTGAAATAATTAATGCTAAAATTGCATTGAGTTTTATCAAAAAGCAAATATTTATTAACATTGGTACAGCCCATTTTCAAGAAATTGCGGAAGCAAACTAAATTTGCTATCACGGATATTTTTTAACACTTTTCCTAATTTTTGTGCCAAAAACAAAATTGACAATTCGAATTTTTAAGCAAAAACATAAATTTGTTCATCGCGATGTTGAAAAATGTAGATTATTTTATAGCGACACAAAATAAAAAACAATAATTACTTAACATAAATCAACTCCAACGTAGAATTTGTATAAAAATTCTAATAAAAAAAGTATATTCAATTATAAATACAACAAAAGAATAATTCTAATTATGAATCGAATATGAAGTTAATGTCTTTTGAAATGGGCTTACTTAGAGCTCATGGAAACCCTTAAGAATTAACGTTACAATTTTATACATGAAAACTATTCAGAAACTTTTGTTCGGGATATTGGTCGTTAATATGTAATAATATATCGTCATTAGTGAATGCAATACCGGTATACCAAAAAACCAGTCATATCATTTTATAACTTGCATAAAATATATTAATCACGTGTTTCTATTAATGTAATATTGATGTTAAGTTGGATATAATTTTGTTAATTTATTCTTAAAAATAAATGTTTTTTTGTTTAGTTGTGAATATATATTTGTACAAGTCTTATCTTTAATTTTTCTTTTTTTTTTTAACTTCCCGTAGGGTAGTAAGTTATAGTAATCGTCCAAAAATCGAAAATGAAATTTTTTTTCTGACCAATTTAAAAAATCTATATATTACAGAATTGTATTGATTATCAAAGGTGCTCCCGCCCATATCTATGTTTGTTAGTTTTGTTCAAGATATCGATTACAATTTCGTACTGAAATGTAGATAAAATAAATTTTCTATCTTTTAATGCTTTTTGAAATGAGTATCGTACTAATTTTATGATGATAATTGAATTTGTCACTTTGAAAACTTACTTCGTTCGGTTCGCTGAGTTCGAACAAGTCGACACGGTTCGCGTTCCATTGCTGGATGACGCTCCGCAGAGCTTCTCGTTCCAGTTGCCTCTTGTCATTGGCATTCATCGTGCAGCCGCTCTAAAACACAAAATTTGCGGTTAGTTCTGAAAATTCTAAATACTGATCAATCGCATTAAATCGTTTTCTAATTCACGTTACTAATATCATTGTTAACACTAATCATTTCAAAAGCAGGTCAAATGACCCGTTTTGAACTTTGAATTGGAAAAGCATCTATTGGATTGTTCGGAAAGTAACTTCGATTTTTATAGACATTTTGACGTAATTTTCGTAAATAAACAAATACTTTAATGAATTCTGCATTGGCGGTTTTGATCAAACATCTTTTGTTTATTCTGATCTGATCAAACATCTTTTGTCTTCTGATTCTGGTATTAGCATAATTCCGAAATCATAATTTTTTTGGTCGTCATTGGCAAAAAACTAATCAAAGAGCTTTTTGACCTCCTCATTTGATATAAATGTTATACCGCCTAAACATTTTTTCAGTGACCGGTAAAAATAATGATCATATGATGTTAGGTCTGGAGAATGTGATGAACGTGTCATTGAGTCCAATTCAAGCTGTAAAAGATTTTGACCAGAAAAGATTTTGGTCAAATGGCCAGAAAATTTGCTACAAATTCTAAGAGTTGCGGTCTTTCCAAGTATTTTCAATATTCTTGTTTTAGCTGGCACAAATGTCTCGAATTTGAACAATCAAAACTAAATGTCTCGAATTTATACTGAATTGCTATTTAGTGGATCAATAGACCTAAAAGCCGATTTTCGAAAAACCTGTGAACAACCAAAAAAAGAACAAATACCAAAAAATATTATCTAAATCTAATTCTTATGTTTGTCCTCGTAAGAAGTGTCAAATTGAATACTGTAGATAAAATAAAACCACCATAATTTACTCTAAATAGTCTAAATGCAAAAAATATGCATACGTAATATGTACATTTAACGCACTTGAATGTAAACTAGCTGTAAGTGGAATTCTGTCTGAGGGCAATTAGGGCATCGTGCCTTCAGGCAAATTGCTGGAACTTTCCGTACCGCAATTCAAAATTCGAGTAATTAAAAATAATCAATGATAATCAATAAAAGTTAATCAATGATTTGAAACTTTTAATAGAGTTTCGAACCATATTGAACCATATTCGGAACCATATTCGAACCATATTCGAACCATCATGTGCAAAAACATACCGTGTTGAAATAAAAACGTAATTTCTGAAATATATTATAATTAACTAGCAAACCTGACGAACTCCGTTTCGCCACCAGATGGTTTCGTGAGAAAGATGAAGAATTTTTTTGTTTGTTTTATATTTGAAAAGGAAAAATGTGATTTTATTATACAACAGTAATGAATTTATTTTGATTACAAAAATGAAGTGTTTTTTAGTTGAACTTCTCTAAGTAAATGCAAGTGAATTCGCAAATTATCCTTTTCATTGAAGTGCTTTTTGGCAAACTACATTTTTTGTTTTTTGGTCTGAAGATAACAGAAACAAAGCGGATGGTTTTACAACTCGTGAATAGGCAACGTCTAACTGCCCATGTGAACAACAATAATTTTCTAAATAATCTATTTGAAATTTATCCCGCAAACACTAAGCTAATTTTCTTAGCTACAAATCTTGCGGAGCCCGAGACCTTTCCAACGAATGCAAAATTGTCGAAATCGGTTCGTGCGTTCTGGAGTTATTTCGTCAGTAAGGAAAACCCGACTTATTTTTATATATATAGAAGATGTGGATTAATAATATTATATATATTATATATTAATTATTAATATATAATAATTAAATAATACAATAATCAAATAATTCAAAAAAATATTTTAACATTAGCATTTCCCAATAAATTAATTTCAACAAATGAGACTGATTATATTTTAATTAAAATGTGATTATAAATACTTAATTATTTTTTATTTTTCAAATTTTACTTAAAATTTAAAATGTTTACTATAATTTTCATGAAGTACAAAGAAAATGGAAAATATTTAGAATTATATATGCTGCGGAATATTGAAAACTATTCGTATTCATACTGAAATTTTATTTTATTTATATTTTTTATATTTATCTAAATTGAGGCAGTATTGTTCAGTGAGTAAAATAGTATTGTCAATAGAATAAATAAAAACATTGCTGCCAATTGAACTTTTAAAGTCGAAAACAAATTTTGAACTTAATCATATTTTATTTGAAATAATATTTTGTTTAAAGTATATTAGAACAGAATTAAAATAAAAATCTCAATTATTTTCGATATACAAAAAAAATTTTATTTGAAAAAAAAATTTTTGAAACGAATTTTTTTTTTTCCAAAATCAATTATTTTGTTAAAACAAACAGAAAGTCCTTTGAATCATTCAAATCGGACGCTTAGTTCTCTCAAAAACTACCATTTTTTGCACATTTAGCTCTGTATCTCCGAAACTGCTGGACTTGCCTTTGCCATAAACTAACCACCACTTCTCCCCGTCATTACAAATTGAATGTTTGTTGGATCATTCAAATCCGATGCTCCGTTCTCTCAAAAACTCGATTTTTATTTTCTGCACTTTTTGCTCTAGATCTCCGTAACTACTGGACCTGCCTTTGCCAAAAACTAATCAGCACATCTCCCTATTAATAGGAATCGAATGTTTTTTGAACCATTCAAATCGGTTGATCCATGCGCCCGAAAACGTGGTCGAAAAATTGTATCCATACATACATGCACACACACACATCCATTTTTTCTGAAGTGTGCCAAAATTTCAGAAACCATCAAAACGTCGAGAAATGTAAAAATTTTCGATTTCGATTTTTGGACGATTACAATAACTTACCCTACGGGAAGTTAAAAATGCGATGAGAAAATGGAAACTCAGTTTTTGCGAGAACCAGGCATCCGATTTGAATGATTCAAAAAACTTTGTGGCGGGAATAGCTCACAAGTATCGTTCCCGATTCACACGCTGGAGGTTCTGAATTCGAAACTCCGGCAAGAATTTGAAAAAAATTAAGTAGTTAGTTTGGAATTGTACTAGAAATTTGAATTGTAATAAAAATATGTTTGTAAAAATAATCAGAATGCATAAAAATTAGAGAATTAGTATTAAAATGAATTGAAGCAAGAAGAGTTTAAAAGATGAAATAAGAAGTATAGTAGAAAAAGTAAGAAGTTAAGAAATATAGAAAGAATAGGATTAGATGAAGAATATGAATAGTATGAAATTGAAAATTGTATAGGACATATGATTGTATTGAATGATGTAGGTGACTAAATGCTCAAGTAAGCGAGGCCAATAAAATAAATAAAAATAATAAACAAATAAAATTAAAAAAAAAACAAAAAAAAAACTTTCTGCTTGTGTTAACAAAACGGTTGTTTTTTTTTAATTTTCACAAACAATTTTCTTGAATATCGAAAATATTTTAGATTTTAATTTTAATTCTAGTTTAAGTTCTGAAGCTTACTTATATACTTCAAATAAATAATATTACCTTTGCAATTCAGTTTATATTCATAAATAATAGACAATGTTCTTCATTTTAAATCGGATTAAGTTTTGTTCATTTATTTTCTATAAACGTATATGAACGTAATCGTCCAATTCATAAGCTCTTTATTTTGTCTATAAAATAAGAATAATGAAAGTTACGGTGTTTATAATAATCTAATTTAAAGCATTTAATAATCCTCGAATATTTCATTGCGGTACGGAGCAGATGACATAACCATCCACTCGTTCAAAAATTCATGAAAAATACTAAAAATGAATATGAAAAACACTAAAATTGAACCATGTTAAAAAGTATATATATATTGAAAATAAAAAAAAACAATCCCAAATTCATGTCAAAACTGAAATTAATGTTTACTTCCCCAAAGAGAAACTTGTTTTTCCCCAGAAAATTCAATCTGCTGAATTTCTGGGCATCAAAAATAAGGTATGGGTGATGCAAATAAATACAGACAGAAAGTTTTTATTAAAAAATCACGTACATCAAATCAAACTCAGTTAGCTGCTGAGATTTGCGTTTTATTTTTTAAATCGATATCAGAGAGAATCTTCAAAAGCCATATCAAGTAAAGGGAGACTGACCCAGGCCTGTGCCAAATCAGATGGGCCGAAAAAGTTGCGTTTGCTAGTGAGTTAGTTGTAAGACGCACTGAATTAGTTAACGACGCTCGGTTATATAACCGTTAATTTTGTACAGTAGCTTAATATAGTACATATAAGATAATTTAATGTAATATACACCCATACATGCACATTTATGTAACCTCATACACACTTTTCTCATACTCAAAATTATATTGAAAATCTTATAATTACAAATGCATCAAAATCTTTCTGCCAAACCAATATAACTGATTTACTAGTGGAATACATGGCATCGTAATTAAAAATCTTAGTACGGAATCCAAAAAAATTTACACAAAATGTGTACACATTTTTGAAACCTCTTTAAAATATATGATAATTTGATGTACATAAGTCCAATAAACACTTTTGACCGCCAAATGACATTTTTTTAACTTATTTTTATTGAGAGTCCATAACCGCTGAACCTCCTTCCCAAAAATTTAATCAGTTCTTCATCTTGTCAATACAAGTAAAATGTTTATGGAATTATTAAAATCGGACGCTCCGTTCTCGTTAAAACTGAGTTAACGTTTTTGGCACTTTTTGCCCCGTATCTACGGAACGGCTAGACCTATCTTCGCCAAAAACTAATCAGAACGTTTCCTTATCAATACGAATCGCATGTTTTTAATTATTCAAATCGGTTGACCGGTGTTCTCGAAAACGTCGAAAATTTATCCGCACACACACACATACATCCATTTTTTCTAAAGTATGCCAAAATGTTCAAAAACTTTTGAAACGTAAAGATATATAAAAATTTTCATTTCCCATTTTTTTGCGATTACTATAACTACCCTACGGGAAGTTAAAAATTAATGTAACGAAATAATTACACTACGTGTTTATAGTAATTTATAAATGTAATGAAGTTAACACCTATGCATACTAAAATTAGCATGCATGATATATATGCACCTTC